AAACTCTCTGTGAGAGGGACTTTTATTTTTCTGTAAAAGATGCAGAAACACTATGTTTCTCACTTCTTGAGGGTTGCTCTGCAGAGACACTGTACATAAATATTGGATAAAGCAGGAACCCTCTGTGTGACAGTTCATCCCAGATGCTAGCAACCAGAGGTATTTGGAAGAGGCAAAAGAGGTAAGGGATGGCCTGGCTTGGTTTGATTGGAATCTTGCTTGGTTTATTTTTATACTACAGTTTTTCTTTATGGGTCATTCATTTTCCAAGTGCATGGTAATCTTCCTGTTTTGTTATCTCATGGATAAGATCGCTGTGCTTTGACATCACTTGCCTCCTAGAAATATTTGCTCTTGTCACACTTGGAGTTTGTGACAGCAGTTTCAAAGAGAATTCTGCCGAATAAATTGACAACCACATAAAGTATCTGTAGTGAAAAACCTAGGATTGTTTTGGGTTTTTTTTAATTACTTGTTTGAGCACATTGAAAGACGCCTCTCTAGTACTGTTTGTTTTCTGTTAGAAATCCAGTCTTGCTTAAGTAGAATCTGTTAAAAATACAAAGTAGCTGCTCCCCCTTCCTTGCCTAACTATCTCTAAAAGAAACAAGTTTGTCCTGGCTACCAGGCAGACAAAAAAGAGAAAAATTTTAATAGAGTCCGATCCCCAAGGCTGTTTTCTAGAAATTATTCCTCTCTTGTAAACCTCCATCTCCATGGAATAGAAGTTTGATGTATGCAAAAGGACAGTGCTTGGGTTAGGGTGGCACTCAGACCAGTTGGGGTTGATAACTAAAACCAAAGTGGAGTAACCTGAAGTGTGCTCTTGGCAGCATGGATCAGAAATAGTAGAGAATACATTTGCATATCCTTTTTGAGCTGTAACACCTCACAGCACCTGCAGTAGTGCATGAAACATATTGCTGAGTGTATTGTATTAATCTCAAAATTCCCTGGGGGTGGATTGTAGCCATGAAGTTGTATAATGAAAGCTGTGCAGCCACCAGACATGAGCAGCAAAGCAGTCTTGTTGCTTTTGTGTCAAAATAAGCCTCCAAAACAACTTGGCACCTTACTGGATTTTCAAGTAATGGACTTTACTAAAAAGTGATGATAACAAAATGAGCAGGATCCAGCTGGGCAGCTAACACACCCCAGTGGCCTCCCTCCAGTGCAGAGTGGCAGTCAGCCACTGTACATTGGCTGAAGTTTTGCCCAGTGCTGAAATGTTACTGCGAGTTGTCAGCTGCTTAACTGTGTATCTTAAGTGGGAAAAAGCCTCTTGATGGAAGTGTTTAGCACCTACTTTTACAGATATGTGGTTTCTTCCAACCTGTGGGCCTATCCAGGGAAAGGGTGAGTGGTAATAAGCATGCAAGATCCAGTCTCAGAACTTTAGGACCCTTTGACATAAAGGATACTATATGTGATTGTTACAAACGATTTGTTTGAATACTGCTCAAAGGCAGCTAAATCAACAGAACGACCAGTAGGTGATCCAGGCTGACTTGGAGATTTTAAGAGCACTGTTTTCTGTGCTCTCTGGCATAACTTAAAAAGTATTTTCTACCTTGTGGCTAAGAATATTAGCTTCCAAATGTGAAAGAAATCTAAATTGGCACAGAGCAACTTGTCAGAATCCGCAACCAGTCTGCAGCAGGAGCTTGGGAGGGATGTGAACCGCCTTTGTTCTTTGCAGTGGGGGTGTTAACACTGAAGTTTATGATAATGTACTTGCCAGCATTGTTAATTATTCTGCTGGAAAGAAGGAGTTGGAAAGTCCGCACAATTTGCTGTCAGTAAGGGGCTTGTTTTGGCATTCCAGTTTGGCATCTCAAATAGGGGTGTCTAGGAGAGCCCTATTTTCTTGGGGGGTATGTGGGGCTGTAGAAGGGGCTCTTTTCACTCCCTGATTTGTGTTTTCATTCCTCCTTAATACAAATAGGATTCTTCTGGAAACTTGGATGAGCAAGCTCTCAATGCCTACGGTCTTAAAAAAATATTTTTTTTCCCAGTTGATCCTTGTAACTGTGAAGCTCATTAACCTGAATGTCTCAATTAGCTAAATGCTAACATGCTGCCAGTACTGCTGCTACTGTCACTGATGCCACTTCAAAAATGTTATGTTTCATGCATATGCTTTAAATGTGCCATTTCTATTTTTCTCTGGGGGAAAAGATCAAGTGCACTAAAAAGGTAGATATATATCCTTGTAGTATTAACTGAGATATTACTGAGTAGTACCTGCCATAATATGAACTTGTTCAATAGCTTGAACAGCAATCTGTTTTTGAGGTATTTGTAGAGTGAGAGGGTTACTGCAACTAGCAGAATGAAATACATGTGCTTCTCTTTGCCATGATGTTAATGAATTTTGGTTTTATTTAAACATTTTAAAGCACATTTTGAAATAGTTGTATACAGGTCAAACTTGTTGGTTTCAGCCACTTTTTGTCTGTTTTGTATTGCCATATAGACCCTCAGCTGAGATGTTACATCTTGTTTACATCACAATGCCCATGGATAGAGTGGTGCACTGGTTTTGCACTGATTGGCATTTGGGGAAAGGAGTAAGAAACCATCCACAGAAGCGATTTCTTTGAGAGAAGTTGTTGGCAGCTTCCTCTGTGTCTGGGAAAGGCCAATAGCTGGCTAGTTCTGAGAACTGGCAACATTTTGCACCATTGAGAAATTAGATCTGCCCCTGTGAGATCCACATTTTAAAAACCACAAGCCCGGGAAATCTCTCTCTTTCTGGCTTCCGGCCTTGAAAGGTAACGGAGCTCTGGTGGGGCCGGCCCTGCTCCCCCACGGCCTGTGCAGGGGAGGCCAGGCCGAGCCCCAGCAGCTCCTGGGCAGGGGATGGAGGCTGTGCGATCCTCCAGGCTGGGCCGGGTCACAGCTGCTGATATCTCATATAAATATGAGATAATATGATATAAACCCCCCCAGCCCGCACCGACGGCTCCAGGCCGAGCCAGAACTGTCCCACCCCCAGCGGCTGCCGGACAGAAGGAGGGGCCCAGCGTGGCCTGAAATCCAACACTGTGACTGCTGTGGCCACTGGGCGAGGTATTAACCCTTTCACTACACAGCCTCAGCTCATCAAGCCTCAGATGGAAGGAGAATGAGGAGATGCCCTAATGGGGCTGAAAACATTTTTGGTAGGGCTATGGAGATGGACAATAATATACTGAAATATCTCCTTTAATTAATGAGAAAGTATGGGGGGATGAAGCATTCAAACTGTAGATGTGAGCAGGAGAATTCACTGATAAAGCCAAGCAGATGTTAGAGTAGCTGTGATCCCATGAAAAGCTTGAACAGAGAGAGAAATAAGAGTGGTGAAGACCCTTTGCCTCCAGGGAGAGGAGAAGAAAACCTCTGTTCCCAGAGATGAGGATGATCACAGAGAGAGATGAAGAGAACCTTTTGCCTTTAAACAACTCATCCTTAAAATAATACCCCGTAAGTTCATGGCCCATGGACACACCTCTAGGAGGGCTGTGAAAGTGGGAGGGGCTTGACGATGCAGATCTTTCCCCAGGCTACTGCTGTGGAAGTGGAAGTGAAAAGCCACAAGAGAACTGTTACTTGTGAAGTCTCCATGGCATGGCAAGAGAAAACTCCTCTCCCTACAAGAACTGATGAAAGACTATTGTATAGTTGGTACTGATTTAACATCCCAGGTTTTGTCTCCATGTTGTCAGTTGGGAAAGGAAAGAAGTTGGGTGGGGGAGGAAAAGTGTTCTGGAGGTTTTATTCTGATTCTCCCTGTTCTTTTAGTTCTATTAATAAAGTTTCTTAATTCCTTTAAAGCTTTAAGCCCGTTTTGGTCTTTTCCTAATCCATATCTCACAGCAAGAAATTAGTAAGTGCATTGGTGATTTTAGCCAGCACTAAACCCACCACATTATTTGGTGCATTGGCCAGGAAACTCAAATTTGGCGCATCTAAACCACTACTGTCAGTTCAGGACAGCAATAAAGGAAAGCCTGATTTTGGGTGTAGTGCATGACTGTACAGGCTGATTGTGTGCATTACATTGATGTGGGGTCTGATCAAAACAGGCGTTCCTTTTATCCAGTTTCACAAAATGATTTTAATGATTGGGGTCTTGGCAATTATTGTTGGGTAACTGCCTGAAGCATTCAGTTCTTCAGTTTATCCAGTAAAGCTGGATAAATAAAATGAGCATAATCAGACAAACTAGTTTCTGAAGATATGGTATAAATTGGGTGTTTGATGTGATTTCTCTATACCTGACCAACAAGACAATGCATATCGTTTGTTTGGATTACCTTTTCCTCACCCCCTTTTTGTACCTCAGGACTATTCTGTGTTACCAACTTCTTTCCTAAGTATTCTAGGCTTTCTCTCAAAGCAAACTTTTGTTTTAGAAAGTAAAATAAAAACAGGAAAGAATGTTTATATTCGTTGGGATATGAAAATAAGAATCCAAATGTTTGTTGGTACACTGACTGATTCTTCCAAATATTCAGTGTGAGCCTTCCCAAGTAGTAGAAGTCATATTGTATAAAACACCATCCTGTGTTAAAATGAAGCTCTTGAGGGCAGAGGAAGATGGTTTACTACAAAGTTGAAGACAACTAGTTGTTGACTATTTGCATTCATCTGTCTCTAGAAGTGTGGGTGCTGGATGAATCTCTGCTATTGCCTACCTCTGCTTTGCTGCCAACTCTTTTGAAGCCTGACTCTGGTCCCACTGTTTCCTGTGGGGAATGACAAAGTTTGAAGGCATTTGATGTAGCCAACAAGCTTGCTCTCATTTTCTTCAAGTAAACAAAGCCAAGTGTCTGAGAGCCTTGCCCAGGAGGTGCATTGTCAGGTAGTTTAAGAGGTAATGAGGTTTGTGTGTGTTAAACCTCCTGCAGTATGTGCTGTAGCAATGATCAGGAGCAGCTAGTCAGCTGAGTGTTAGGTGGTACCAGCCACAAAAGGAAGGACCTGACCCTGCAAGTTGGAGCTGAGTAGTGAGGGAAGAGCAAAGCTGTCTTTGTGTTCTGAATTTTCAAGTCTGCAACAGCAGTTGCAAGAAATATTTTTATCTTTAACTTGTCTGGCTCTCTCTTGGCATTACTCTCTTGATGTCCACTCTTGCTAACCATTTGGTTAGCAAAAGGATTGGGGAAACAACAGCACTGTGGAAATTAAAGCTTTCCATTCATCCTTCACTCCAGCCAAACTACTCTGCAGAACAGTGGATGTGGAGCAGCATACTGGCATTTTTTACAAAGCCTGTTGGCATTTAAGTTTACCTCTACCCCACAAACCAGGTTCTGATATTTCTGCACTGCAACACTTTCTCTTAAACAAAGGGTAAAAAATACTTCTATGCTGTGTCAAAGCATGACACGGATGTCAGCCTTCCTCATAAATGCTGTTACAGAGGATCTCTTTTTTGAGCTCTTTATAATACATACAAAGGGCAGAAGCTGTAGGAAGAACTTTCATGTGCTCAGTAGTCTGGTGCATTTGCAGGGGCAAACGTGGATGGAGTGAAAATTTTTTTGACTTGACTTGGTCCTGTATTTTTTGTTCCAGGCTCAAGTAATCTGTTTTGTGGGGCAGAATGGAATGTAAGAGTTCAGTTACGATGGATCTATTAATACCACACCATCTTACCTTCTTGTCAACTGTCCTGTAGATGATAGAGGTTATGAGTCTCATTTATTTGTTCCACATTGGTAAGTTTAAAGAAATGGGATGGGGATTTCTTGTTATGTGGTTATCTTGAAGTTTGCTGGTTTGGGGTCCAGAGGACTCACTGATCTCTGAAACTGTCATGTATTGCATGTCCCCAGAGAATGGAAGGACAAAGATGCAGTGCTTGGGTGCAGTACTGCTCTGTGCACAGGGTGTAGTTCCCATTATCTGCTGGAACTGCTGTGAAAAGCCACCAGCTCCTAACTGGGACACAAGGAGCCACTCAGGGCAGGTAGTCCTCTCTTCTCCCAGGCCAACTCATGGCTCCATGAAGACTGCCATTAGCCAAAATCTTGAAGAAAGTTGTAATGTTTTACACAGATTCCTGCTCCATACCAAATCCCTTTTGTGATGCGCTGATTCTGAAATGATCCCATTCCGTGCCATTCCTTGGGGGGATGCCTTCAGCATCAGGCATAGTTCAGGTCTTTCAGTGGGTTTCAGTGAAGAGAGCTGTGTGCTGGATCCCAGGCTGAGTCAGTCGAACAGCTAATTTCTGTGTGTTTTCCAGTGCATCTCCCCTCACTCACATTTCACCTTTCCTTGTGCTTTATCTCACCTCACCCCAGCAGAGTTAGTTATCTAACTAGTTTAGAGGTAGGGAAGATACAGTGCTTTGTATTTTCTGGGAAAAGAGACATGTCTAGAGCTGAGTTCTAAACATGGCATAGAAGTAAAATGAAGGAAGGTAAATGCTCATCTCTCCCCACAAACTTTAGATTATAAACTGAGCTAAAGAAAGTGAATTGATTCCTTGCCTGGTGGCCAACTCTGATCTGTTGTAAGACTGCACAGAAATATTGCAGCTAAGAGCATGCCATGCTTTGTTTGCTGGTTGGTTGGATATTTATGTCAGGTTGCCAGGCAAATTCATATACTGCTATGCTGCAGGCAAGGTCTTGGAGGGTGGGGGAGATGAGTAAACATCTTAGAAAGATCTAAAGGTGTAGGAAGAGGTTTAGACAAAAAGAATGAGGAGCTGGGTTTGCAAAACTTGCATCTATTTTTGTCTTCTGTTGCTGAAGCAGAGGTATCCAGAGCTGAGCTGTTCTGCAGCCCTGCCATCTTCACATCTGTGCTGCTTTGTACCCTTGTGCCATGGGCAGGCAGCATCTCACAGAAAACTTCACAAACCAGTTGGTCCCTGAGATTTGATTTGAGTTTGTGTCATTGCCTGGACAAGTGCATGTTTATGGACTCCTGCACGCTCCAAATCTGTAACAGTTTCAGTTAAAGTCTCTTCTGCCAGCACAAACCACAAAAAGTAACTAAATAGACCATAAATCTCTCTGTGTTCCCAATCTCACCCTTAACTGCCTTCTTTCTCCAGCCTGTGTGTCACTCCTCAGGTTCAGACCTGCAGTTTATGGTACAGGATGATTTTTTAATTACCATTTGAGTTCCTGGGAAATGCTGGTACTCCCAGTGTGTTTGCAACTGCATGCTGTGATTCACTGGAGGACAAAGTGTGCAAGCCAAGGCAGTGATGTTCTGAAAGAAAAGTTAAATCAGGAAACAGTCCCATATCAATCCTTTATATATTTAGTTACCAAACAGCATCTCATTTGTCAGCAATACAAGTAACAACCACAAAACAGTGCTGCCCATTACTTTTAGCTAGCATATCAGGGCATTCTCTTCTTGTATTCACATTCAGAAATAGCTGAAATTATTATAAATATTTTTGAGAAAACAGCAGGGTTTTTGGTTTTTTTTGGGTTTTTTGGTTTTTTTAGCAAGTATAATTGCTAGGTAAGCTGGGGGGTTGCAAAATGCTGAGGTTTAGCACTTTGCTGGACAAGCTGTGTGTGTTTTTGGGACAACCAGCTTATGGGAGATTGTCAGCAAAGTATCATCAAAGACATTTGTGACTCAGAGCAATGGAGAGTTTTGAAAAGGAAATCATGTTAGGTAATCACAGCCTTTGCACATCAATGAAAGCATGTTTTTCAGTTATTGCTTGAATCTTTTCTTAGATTTGGCTGAAATCAGTTTGGTTTCATTCTCTTTTGATTAGGAAATTAAAAATGTGTATTTTCAATCTACCATTATTTCTCTTTCAAAAAAAGGAAGGGAGTTTATTTCAAAGGTGGGTTGCAAGAGATTCATGTTCTCTAAGTATGTGAGAAACATTCTTTACATTTTGTTTAAACTTGTGAAATGCAAGAAAGTTGAATTCTTATAGCTATTGAACAGATCATAGGGCAGATACATGGAGTTAGTTTGCTTTCAGGAGAAATAAAGTAGTTTCTTGTGTGGGAAGACTAGAGGAACAGGAATTCTTATGGAAACAAATTCTGGAAATAATCAGGCCAGGAGAGAGGTAGCAGCCAGTTTACTTATGAAAGCTCATAATGAAATGGAAGATAACAAGTTAGCATGATGTACAATCTGGAGGGATGAACCTGTACTTGAAATTTGACAACAGTACTCTTAAAAATATTTATTACTGCAATTTAAGTAGAGAGTACCAAGAAAAATAATGTTTTATTTCTGTCACTTGGCCTTCACTATAACATACAGACAAGTAATTTAAATAGTAAAGGTTCCAGAGACTATCACTATTAATATTCACCTTAGTGCACACCCAGACAGTGCTTAAGTGTTCTTTCTTGGCCTTGAGTGGAAGGCGTTGTAGCCCCTATGCTGTCACTGTATTTTCCTTGACCTGAACTTCCAAGCAGTATCCATAGTGTACCCTTGGATATCTTGGGACAATGTCACTGCTTATATTCATTGAAAAACCAACGGTTAGAAACAGGTAGGTTAGAAGCAGGATTGTTCTGTATCTGGACACGATGATTTCTGTGGTCTTCAGTCTGAATATATACAAATTTACAGATATATTTCTGCAAAGGAGCAGGTCTGTCTGGGGCAGTAATTGGATGGTAATTACTCAAACAACTGTTACATGCCTTTCTTCATAAGAAAAACAGGGCTTATATCCGTAACAGACAGTATGAACAGCATCTCCTGCTAAGACTCCACTACTTGAAGCATTCACTGAGATGTGAATATCCTGAGGCCTTTGTACCCAGACCTAATTAGAATGATGGGCAATAACCAACCATAGGAAGTTCAATACTGGCAAGTGCCAGATTTTGCTCCAGTTTACCAATGTGGCAACCTTGAATGTAGGGACAGACTGTGGAATGAGAGGCTGAAGAGCAGCGCTGTGCAAAGGGACCTGGGGTCCTGGTCTATGGAAAGTTGAATGTGAGTCAGCAGTGCCCTGGGAGCCAGGAGAGCCAACCCTGTCCTGGGGGGCATCAGGGACAGCATCGCCAGGTGGGCAAGGGAGGGGATTGTCCCACTCTGCTCTGCACTGGGGCAGCCTCACCTCGAGTGCTGGGGGCAGTTATGGGTGCCACAATATAAAACAGGCATTAAGCCATTAGAGAGGGTCCAAAGGAGGGCCATGAGGATGGTGAAGGCCTTGAAGGGAAGTTGTATGAGGAGTGGCTGAGGTCACTTGGTTTGTCCAGCCTGAATACAAGGAGACTGAGGGGAGACCTCATTGCAGTTATAACTTAATCAGGAGGGGAAGCAGAGAGGCAGGCACTGATCTCTTCACTCTCCTAAGCGGTGACAAGACTCAAGGAAACAGCCTGAAGCTGTGTCAGGGGAGGTTTAAGTTGGATGTCAGGAATAGGTTCTTCCCCCAGAGAGTAGTTGAGCAGGTTGAACTGGCTCCCCTGGAAAGAGCACCAAGCCTTACAGAGTTCAAGAAGTGTTTGTACTCTCAGTCACAGTGGTGTAGTCATAGAGCGCTCTCAGTCATAGAGTGGGATTCTTGGGGTGTTGGTGTGTAGGGCCAGGAGTTGGATTCTGTGACCCTGATGGATCCCTTCCAACTCAGCATATTCCATGATTCTGTGATAGAAATTCCATCAGTGCAGTAACAGGTCTGCATGTCAAAGGGCAAAACTTGTTTTTAAAGGCTTTTTTGTTTTCCTTTCTTCTTTTCTTTTTATTTCCTTCCTTTTGAAGATAGTGGTAAAAATCTTCATTGGAAACAGTGTCTCCTTTATTTTGAGCTGCTGATGAAATAAAATTGTAATTATCTTGTGGGCATTGATAAAATTGTTCATATTAATTGCTTTTAATAACTTTATACTGACTCTTTTTCTTTCCTTTTCTTTGTTCTTCCTCATCACTAAGGACTAAACAAAATATTTTGCTTTACTGACAGAGCTTCTGATCCTGCAGTATTTGTTTCACAAGGAGACTTGCTTTGTAGCTGTTAGTCAGTCACAAATACATTTGCTTCCCATAGCTCCATTTGAGCCCAGAACAGAAAGCAGTCAGTGTGTGTCAAGATCAAGAAGTGGAGAAATCAGAAATTGTGCCATTTCCCAGATCCAGATGAAAGCATTGTCAGAGGCCAAGGTGAGATATTATTTGATGGTACAGCTGAGTGCCAGGGAATCCCCATGGGGAGGAGATGGAGTCAGGGACAGGTGATAGAGAGGGGACCTGCAGTGCTACTGCAGCAGGAACAGGGCAATCCTTTCCCTCAGGCACCCAGCTGAGCTGCACACTTTGGCACAGAAACTGCCAGCAGTGGTGTGGTTTAAGCTCAGCCTGTCTGAGGCTAAAAGGTTGAAAGTGAGTTTCTGTGTATAACCTCCAATTTGAAACAACTGTGTATGGCAAGTATTCTGTAGCCTTAGATGCCATAGCTCTAAATGCAGAGCTTGGAGTTGCTTCCTACAATTACCTGAGATTGTAATTTTTTTATTTACTGTCATTTTTTAAATACTTTCCCAAAAAGACATTAGAAATGAAAAGCAGACTAGTTAAATTTTTTAAATACTAAGCTATGTCTTTCCATGTGGTTTCTCAGCAGTAGTCCAGCAACATAACACATCTGATTTCCAAGCTCCTGCCTCAGTTTTACATGCTGGAATCAGCAGTCTCTCACACTCCCACTTTCCAGATAGGCAAAGGATTTATTAAAACTCTAGCTATCTCCTTGGCC